TAAAAGGAAAAACTGAACTAGGGAAGATAGAGGAAAACTCACAAGACACTCTTATTGGCGCTTAGAAACTTTGACCTTGCTCGACGCAGCAACCGCCTCTGAAGATGGAAGCCACTCGTGCTGGTAAAACGTCAGGAAGAAATTCACAACATATGTGACATTTGCCCAGCTAAGTTGAAAAATTCCGGTTGTTTAGATTTTAGATTAGTACTCTATTAGAGCTGTGCAAGCTGAAAACATTGCAATTCAATTGCAATCCCATTATTCACCTTTACTAAAGCGACTAATTTGTCGCGAAAGGATAAGAAAAGACACTCTCTGGATAACTGGGCTAGACCTTTCTCAAGTTTTAATCATCTTAGTAGGTTCTCCCGTTTGCCGCAAATAATTCACTAGCAACTAAACTGTCCAACAGGACTGATTATTCTCAGAAAGTAATGAAATTGCTTTATGTTGGGACTCATTACTTCATTCTAGACACAAAGATTACTCTCGGCAAAACTGTGACGAAAAAAACATTATAATTTATAATGCATAAATAACCAATAAGCTTGTTAAACTTTTAAATCTGGACGACGACTAACTTACAGGTTGATACGAATAAATTCGTCATATCAGCGAAGCCGCTCACGGTCCTAAAGACATTCGATGCTTCGCTCATTCATTTTTAAATTGCTTCTAATGCTAATTTGGGACACTCTCTTGTCAATCTCAGCTCATCCAGACTCCCTACACTGCAACATATCAATTATACATAAACATAAAAAAAATTCTTATTAAATTCGACCATTTTCTATATCAAAATTATAGAAATTGGAATCAGAAAATAAACGGTTTTTTCCGCTTTGGTTTGGTTACCAGAGCTTTTTTCGGTTAATGCCAGAAAGGCAATTATTAAGAATCGTGAGCGAAATATTTACTCGCCTAATAAAATCGCTGGATAGTCTGCTAAATTGGAAAATCAGTTTTCGCGACCAGCATGAAGTAGCAGATACTTTTCTGTTAAGTTTCCTTTTAACCACACGGCCAGTATTATTAGATAAGCTTATATAATCCACAATTCCACGTATAAGACGCATAATTAATTTCACTTAGAACAAGTGGCAGTGTTTCAGCGCACTCAAAAGCAAATCTTCAGTGACTAATTGCCGAAATAAGCGCCAAGCATTGCCTTGGCAAATGTTAGTTATTTGGGATAATTTTGTTTCGAAACCATTTCGGTATTAATGCTTAAACACCTACTAAAATATGATAGTTAGAATATGGACGCCAAACGGAGAAATTTTGTTGTAATTTACAGGGTGTCCCGTAAGCACATCATCAAAACTCTTCTCTTCTTCCTCTTCTGCAACCCGTTTGAATCCACTCCTGGACTTCCATCCAAGGCTGCTTCCATTTGTTTCCATGTCCAGAATCCAGTTCTATCCTGCTCGTCTCTGTATAACATCTCGGCATCTTAATCGTTTCAAGACGGTTTTTTCTCTATGCAGTTGCCCTAATTATTTAACTTTTTTCATGTTTGTCAAGTAAGGATAAGCCGTTTTTCCTAAAAAGTTAATCATTTTTTCTGTGGAGGGGGTGGGGGTAGTGGTAAACATATGTACCACTAGTCCTTGTATGAGGTACGTATAACGTACCAGTAGTCTGGGTATTCTCATAAAAAAAAACAATTATTTAAAAAAAACGTAATCATTTCACATACTGAGTGGACCATTACACAAAAGACTCAAAGAACACCAATCATATATAAAAAACAGAGAATATCATAAATCACACATTTGTCAACATGCATTTGATAATTGCCATAAAATTCAATGGAATAATTGCACAATTTTAACAAAAGAACAATCCACAAAAAAACGTAAAATTAAAGAAAGCGCACTAATTTTACTAAATCAAAATAATTGTGTTGCTTCATGTTCATTTAATTTAAGTCATACATGGTTACCTATGCTAAAATCTGAAGTAGACCAAAAAAACATACACCTCAATTAAATTTACACCAAAACTATTAATTAACATTACCTTTATTAATTTAAACAATGAGATTAAGTCAAAGTCAAATAACTGACAATTTGCAACGAATTATCAGAGCGAATTTTGATATATTATATTATCTTACTATTGTTACACAATTTACTAACAAACTCTTTTTTAGGTTCATTTAGGTTCTTTTGATAACGATAGCAGAAAATAGCTATCGAAACGTCAAGGTAATTTTTCAAAT